TTCACTATTCGGCCGAATACCGAATATTTAATCACTATTCGGCCGAATACCGAATACCTAAAAACAGGAGTTATAAACAACAAAAACACAGTAAATTAATCATTTTGGTATTTAGAGTTAATGTTATAGAGTTAGTGTTGTTTGTTTATATTTATTTATAACTTGTAACATGCACAAAATAAAAAAGAAAATAATATTAGTCACATGTATTTACAATTTATAATTACAAAGATCAGCACATGTACACGTCTATCGTTGGAGAATCCTCGCACATCTGAGGGTCTGACCCTGCCTATTCTTCTTTTTAAGCGCTCGTCTTTGCTCTTCCCTTTCTCTTTCCTCTATCGCTCTAATCCATGTATGCCTGTGCATACATCACAATACGCGCTCACGATACTTTCAATTTGTCACTTTTCCGTCGTAGATTTCCCATTTTACAATTACGTGACTCATAGCCTGGTGATAACGGAGAAAAGAGACAGATAGGACGTCGATATAAGTCACAGTTAAGATTTCACAGATTCGAGACAGCTTGATAGCTCGAATGGCCCCAGGCTTTCGCCCGTGCACGCTAAGTGACTTTTGTTACAAGTATTTAGCTTTCCGAAGTCTATGACAACAATTGTTTGGCATTGACGGCCGCGAATTTTGCGGCAATAAGCTGATTCGACTCGTTCGATTATGTTATCGACTAAATTTTATATTTATTTTCACATTTTCACTTCGCAGTCCTTCTCTGTTCTTTCTTCGTTATTTACATGTGTAGGACATTTCATTGTTATCCACATTTCATATCATCACTTATCACATACTGCCATGACGCTCTTGTCTGTCCGCTTCAACTGTCAAGAATTAACATGATTGGCGAAGCGTAATGACAGCGGGCCAATAGAGAGCGGGGTCCTTGCCATAATGCGGTTTGCACGCCAATTTTCGTACGTGCGATAATCGAGCCGAATAGTTTGGCCAAATATTCGGCTATTCGGCCACGCTCCTGGCCGAATATTCGGTATTCGGCCTGACGCCAAATATACTATTCATTACAACACTAATTTTTGTGTCTATTATTATTTTCAGCACTTAAAGTTTATAACTACAGTTGAACCTGTCTACTTCAGATCTCATGGGAATGAGAGGAAAAACTTGAGATAGACAGATTTTGAGATATAGAGGTTTCTGCATAGTAAATAGTAATAGGTTTGATTAGAGGTCTGGTATTTTACCAAAATAATATCAAGTACAGTAGATACCTGTATTAAGTATAAATAAAACATTTTTGACATATTTTAACAAATTGTTTGTCAATAGTTTTGGATTCTTGACTTTCTTCAACCAATAAGATGCAAGCCAAACTTATAGCCAATCAGAGAAAAGCAGCATTAATTGCAACTATGTACTGTATTGCAAGAGATGTTTTTCAAATAATGTTTATGCTATCAAAATATAATCACTGAGCTTTTTGAATTTGTAATTGATACTTCAGTCCATAATTTGAGTTAAGGGATTTTGGGAGAAAATTATTTGAGATAAACATGGAAAATATATTGAATATAGGTTGAAAATGAAAGGGAAAAAATAAATTTTGAGATAAACATGTTTGAGATAGATAGGTTCAACAGTATATAACTTTCTTTACAATCATTGTCACAAGGACAGATGTTTTAATACAAATTTTATATTGAATGATTAATGTGATCTTTATATAAGGACATTTTGCATTCTGCCTAATCACTTTTACAGAAAATTTCATTTGAATTAATGCAGAAAAATGAATCTGTGTTCTTTTGACAATTAAAGATAGTAATCAATTTATAGACTTACTCTCAATGTTTTTAACTGGAGAAAATAAAGGATAGTATATATGAGGAAGGCACTCCCAAAGAATGGGATATCAAATGAGAATCCTCATTTTCACAAATAAGAATATTCAAGACACATAACAGGATATAATCTAATATTGTATAATTATTTTATTGTGTACTTTAATTATTTCATTCTAATTAAAACTGTTATTAATCCAATTTTCAAATTTTAATTTTAATTACATACCCAAAGAAATGTGTTATTTAGAAAAATTTTTTAAATTTCAATATAATTCAATATTAAACCTATGGTATTTATGGTATGGTATTTCAATATTAATGAAAAATAATATTAATTAATCACATACAAACTATACATGTTCTGATAGTGCTAAAATTCACTAATATTTAGTTTTTTTAAAAACATTAAAATATTTCATGCTTCAGAGATTTGACATAAGCCATGCTTCCTACAATAATAATAATTTTTATTGTACAAAAGCTATCTTACAAGGTACCTTTTTGTGCAGACAGACTAACTTTTACTCCAAAATTAGAAAAGATGATATTGTGGTGAAGAAGTCTCAGTCTGGATTTATATTTTATTGAAAGGGCACATGCCACACCACTTGTAGATGGCACTTTCAATTTTATTGTGACTAATATGAGAATCTTATCCTTATGTAAGATTTTGAAAATACTGTTGTATCCTATTTTTGTTTTATGGACAATCATACTTGTATACATAAAGTTTAGATTAATAGAGAGAATATTCAGAAAATGGACTAATCAGCCAAATTTCTAAATTTGAATACAGTAAATTTGTCTAGTATACTTCTGGAGGCATATTGTATTAATTATCTCTCAACACTAAGGCTTTTACATTTCCATCATAGATTTAGCCAGCTTGTAATGGGATGGCAAAGGATATGATATATCTAAGTACTGTATATATATTTGGTATATTCAGATCACATATTCATGAAAATTTGAGTTCAGTTCAGACTCAAATCTGCCTTCTGTCTGATTATTAAAATGTATACTCTTGTTGAGGGCATATACAGTACTAGCAGAGGGATGATTTGTAAGATGAATTTTCTTGGAATGCAATGTCATGCATTTTCACTTATTTTTTGTTGTATTATAATTAGAATAATAATCATCAATTATAAGTGATAGAATACTACAATAATTATAGCAATTTAATTCTTCAATATGAAATACTCTAAAATCATTTCAACAAAGTCATTCTGATCAAGTAAATGTCTTAGAAATGATAAAGATTACATGATTTAATTTCAATTTAAATAAATTTCAGCTTTTAATTTTGATTTATCACTAGTGAGAATAAATTTAAGAAGTATAGTCATTCTGTATCTCTAAAAATAAGTTTCAAAATCAAAACTTTGGCATGGGTAAATTTTTTTTAAAGTATTGATATCTTGTAAAATATGCTTACTTTGGCACACAAACTCAAAAATTCTTTTAAAAATGGCTGATGAATTACATATTAAAAAAAAAATATGTAGAAAAGACTAAAATGTCTTGTTTTTCACCATGTCAAATCACTGTGAACTTTTTAAACTTTTTGCATATTTTTTGCAGAGGTGTAGCCACTGATAAAAGGTTATCTCTGCAATGGAAAACTTGTTTCTGGTGATTCCACGTGGAAAAAAACAAGACATTTTAGTCTTTTCTATGTATTTTTTTTTTTTATAATAAACTCAAAAATATTTTTTTATTCCTATTCTAATACCGCTACCTTTTGATTTAAAGACAAATATCTTGTAAAAATTTTCATATAAATTGTAATTGTAGGAATTTTCATATTTTTGTTTGCTTGTTTCAAGTATAACTAGTTCTTATTATAAGTCAAACATTTATAATAGATGCCTTATATTGAAAATTTATTTCCAAATCTTTTATTTGTATAATAACTGGACTTTTAGTGATAACGATTAGACCAAACAACTGAATTTATACAAAATTTTTATTTTACGTCATCCAGTTGAAAAAGTTAGATCTGATTTATACTGCATTTAGTAATATAGATGTTTCAGAGATTTGAAGAAAATCTGCTTACCAAGTAAGTACTGTAATCAAATTTTTGCGGTACAATACTTATCAGAATTCTCTTAATGGTTTACGATTCTCATCTCGATCATCATGGCCACAGTTTAGAGTGCTGATGGTTTTTTCATGAAACTTCCAATGGAAATTTTTCTAGTGGCGGATTACTGAATAGGCGCTCACCAAGGCCGCCCATTATTTCGAGTGGTCCCAAAAATTACATTGCAAAAAGATATGCCTCTAAAAGTTTAGTGGACATTTAAAAACTGTATATTACAAAGAAAAAACTTACTGTTTAAGGATTTTTTTTCTTTTTAACATAAAAAAAAAACTTTAACAACTTTAACATAAAGGGCTTTATAACAAAATTGCGCCTAGAGCCTAGACCAGGCATAGCCAACACAGCCTGCGGGCCAGATCCAGCCCATCTAATGAATTTATGTGGCCCATGATCAATCTTTCAATATTAGGTATTGAAGTCCGAATAGCTTGATGAAAAATTCTGACGCCTAAAAAAATCAACAACTCACTGTGCATTTAGAGTTAACCCTCCATTACAAATCTCATAAGTACAGCATAGAATATTGATAAAGCATGATAATGTGAATAATGTATCTGTAATCTCTATCTACAATTCAGTCTCTACAGGGTGAAACTACAATGAGATCTCGCATCACCTCAAAATCTTCGGCCCATGGAAAAAGTTCTCTTTCCAATTCAGCCCAGGGGCAAAAACTGTTGGCCATCCCTGGCCTAGACTGTATAAAAGTATTCAGTAATCCGTTACTGAATACTTTTATATAAATTCAAATGATTGTAAATGTTTAGACGTATATATTATAAGAGTGTCAAACTACTTAATAAACTATAATTCATTTGTAATGCTGCTGCTCATTTTTATACAATTTAAAAAACATGTTTATCCTATTTTAGTGACAAAATAAACAATAAATTAAACATGATCAAATCTAATAAAATTCATTTATGCTTATTGAATACATTTGATGTATTGATATATAGTAGGGGAAATACGTACAAAATGACATACGGTTTTATTTTAGGTTCATAAGTCTTTATTGGTAAATCACAGCACTGTCATATTCTACACCAATCATCTTTGGTTCTTTACCTATGAAATACACTAAACATTTACAATATTAAAATAATAGAAAAAAAATATTGTTAGTTTAATTGAGATCATCCAAAATCCATTTTGTCCATATACTATGGACAAAATGACACATTACGTAAGTACAAAATGACATACACGTAAAAACTATAAAATTACTGACAAAGCCACAAATGNTATTAAAATAATAGAAAAAAAATATTGTTAGTTTAATTGAGATCATCCAAAATCCATTTTGTCCATATACTATGGACAAAATGACACATTACTTAAGGACAAAATGACATACACGTAAAAACTATAAAATTACTGACAAAGCCACAAATGAAACGCTTGGCTCTTTTAGAAACATCAGCGCAAGAAGCGTGATCCCAACGGAAACAATTTAAGCACCGTAACCAGTCATCTCCAGGCTTAGATCGGGAAAAAAATCATTGCAATATATGCATGGACAGTCTTCTTCATCAGCATGAGAGTTATCAGGAAAATTTTCTTCTTCAAGTAACTTTTTAGTAATGTTTCGTCTCCTTTTCTCTGGTGGAGCTTTGGACTCAATTTTTGATTTAATTGCATTCATATTAGGAGTAGAAGTTAAAACTAAAGAGGTTTGTTGAGTCACGTGATAAGTTTGTAAATAATATGTAAGAAAGGAAATAAAGTTTTATACTAAAATTTCTTTTAAACAATAATGAAAGATTTTTTTTGGAAGCCATTTTTTATAATTAATAAAACGTTAAGAGATTAAGGTAAGTTCCTTGACTAAGCTCTCATGGATAAATGACAGGTATGTCATTATGTCCGTTGCCTATGTATGTCTTTTTGTCCCTTGCACGTTATAAAAAAAACAAAATTATAAAATAAATACAAAGATGATATTTTTAATGGAAAAAGTTATTTAGGTGCAACAACAAATTCTTGAGGGTTGAAATAAATGCTACACAATAGATAAAATAGTGAAAAACTTACCATCTATACAAAAAACTTGTTGCAAGGAAAAAACACTCTTAACGTATCATTTCTTGTCGTCGGCCGTGACACTCGGGCGAATGAGAGGAGTGCGTTCACATTTTGACAGGTTAGTAAAAGCCGCTCGGATAACATAGTGTCGTGGTCAGTTGCGCAATTGATACCGCCAAATTTGAATTATGTTGCCTATATCATTTTGTACGTATTTCCCCTACACTTATTGGCAAAAAAATAAGTCACGTATCAAGAAGGGGTTTCGAATTGAAAGAAGCTTTATTACTCTAAACCAGGAGAGTAGTAGTAAATTAAATAGTGCCAGAGAGCTAAGAATTGCTTATTATTATTCACTTTTATTAAGATTTTACACTTACACGTAAATTTCTCGATTTTTATTTATAGAAGTACTGAACGAAACAATTATTACAAAAACTTAAACCGTAATAGTGATGATAAGTGGCGTACCTTAGTGGGGACAGCAAGGGCGGCAAAATTTCACAATAAATAATAATAATAATATCTTGTAAAAATTTGAAACATCCTAATCTATACTTGCATCGCGCCTACGATAGTGCTATCATCCGGACAGTCCGGGAATTGCCTCGCGGGGTGAACTAGTAACTTTTTCGTCAGAGGAATTACTGCGAAACCTGTTGACTTTTTTTTTCTTGTACGATTCATTCGCGTTCATATACACCACTAATATCCAATAGAGTTATTTTAAACAGGTCGCTGCACTACCACCGAATTTTTCATTGCTTGTTCTGTGACAAAACTGAATTTTAGTCTTTTAAATTCAGATACCTAAATAAGGGGGCGGAGAAATTTTCCTCCGCCCCAGGCGGCTGACACCCACGCTACGCCACTGTTCAAACATCTCGTTGTCAGAGATCGAGATGCTGTGTCGGGTTAATGTTAACAGCGCAGCTAGGCCTTCTTGAGCCAGATCGGATCTGGTTCTATCTGGATACAAAAAAGGAACCAATCGGAAAGGAGAGAGGATTCGGGACCAATTAAACTGTTTGGTCCGCAGACAAATTCTATATAAACCCGCTTCTTAAGATCACGAGGTTTTCTGACCGTTCCTCCTAACCGCGTTTCACTGATCCCACAACTTCGCAGATTCACCTCAATTCTCGTCTTCATCGTTTTGAAAAGTCTTGAGCCACCGTAGTAAGCTTACGCAAGAACGAAGTATCTGACAGTAAAAGGATTAAAACAATAATACACTTTTAACGAGTGGCGGAAGCCAAATCTTTTGGGTCCCTTTTTCCGGATGACGAAGGTCCAAAAAGGAAAGTTCTTCGATGTTTTCGCAGGAGTCGGCGTAGCTAGGAAGCTCGAAGAGAATACTTAGTCCGCAACAAGAACAATCCTTTCAAGGCAGGAGTACCAGATTCAAAAGCACAAGAGAGAAGCCCCTCCTATCCGCCAAATTCGTATTTTTATATCTATTTTTTCGGTGCAAATCGATCATTCCGATAGGTCGGTTCTGACTTACCTCCGCTTTCCAATTGGTCCTCACTCGTTACGAAAGGTAACCAGATCAGAATCCAGATCGCGGGATGAGTCAACACCGACTGTCAATTCGATCCCCAAAGATGTTCGATCTTTGGACTTACATTATTCTATTGTCTTAATTTGAGAAGTACATTTTTCTAAGAAATTTCTTCAGATGTGTCCTTTTATAGACATGAAATTTCTATTTCTCCCCTTAATCAAAATATAATAATTATTATTTTTCTTTTTACACGAGAAAACAAAATTTAATTTTTCTGTATGTGTAGCCCCGGTCCACTTCCGAAGCCTCACATCTGGGCCCGGGGAATTTTATTTTATCATTCCTCTTCTCGCCGGCATTTTCAATATCCAGTGCTTCGGATTCATTCTTATTATGGAAAATATTATAGATATTTATTTTTAAAATTTTTGATTTTATTTTCTACTTTTAACTGTTTACATTTTTTGACAGTAATCAACATCGTTTTCAAATAGTTTTCATTTAACGTGATAGCCGTCCTTTCTGGGACCCAGGATAGAATCCGTACGGGTCAAAAAACCCCAGGAATTTTTCGGGTTGATCCGTTCCGGACATATCGGACCCCGTCTCTCACCACCCGGCCGCCCATTGTTAGCGGCCGGGTGGTGAGAGACGTTTTTGAGTTGCAACCACAAGGCGGAAAAAGTTTTTAAAAAAGTCAACATCAAGTACTGTACATTTCTTTAAAATTTAATATTGTCTTTAACAGTTAGAGATTGGAAAATAATTCCAATATTAAAAAATACAATGTTTAAATTGAATCTAACTATACTGTACTTCAAATGAACGAAGTGATTTATAAAAAGTTAAAACTGTTTTTTTTAAATAATAATTTTTCATTATTTTAATTCTGCTTAATATTCTGTAGATATTCAACATAAAAACATATATATAATTAGATAATATAGTACATAATTACATAATATACAAACTGATTTAAAAAGCATCATTGATACGGAACTAACTTTAAATTATTAATAATCTAAAATTAGAACAAGATAAAAAAATATAAGAGGGCGCTTCGAAAAACCTACGCATGACGTAGATATAGAATTATCTAAGGTTGACGTGTACTTGAAAATAGACTGTTTGTTTGGATGTGTTAGAGAGGTTCCTTCTGTTATTAAACGTTACTTTGCTCAAAAGTAAACAAAAGATATTAGGAGATTAGAAGATAGATTGATATTTATATTAGATATTACCAAGTTTCTTTATCAAAGTGAGTTTTTTTATTTAGGCTTAAAGTTATTCCATTTAAGTAATCAATCTTTATTATTTTATATTTTATCAATTAATTTTTATTATTCATATTTGATTATTTTCTTCTGTAACGATTATATTTTCGAATAACGCTTGTGTGAGTCAAAAAAGTTTTCTATATCTGGATATATTCGTCATAAAAGGAACTGATCAGAATCCAGATTGTAAGACATTGCTCTAATTATTTGCTTTCTTTTTTATGTAATAGAAGTAGTAGAATTAATTGCTCTAGACACAAGTTTCATAATTATTACTAAAAATAAAATTGTGTAACTTATAAAGCATTATAACATTTTTTAAAACTTAGTCAAGTTTTTAAAAATGTTATAATTTATCTTACAATTCTAGAAAATTTAATTAAATAATAATAATTATAAATATATAAGATATTTTAAATAAATGATCTGTTTGCATTAATCTGGTATAAAATATGCTGAATTTTTACACTTTTTATCAGAATCATCAATTTTTTTTTCCTTTCAGTGTATAGAAGCAGAAATACTTGTTTATTCTGAAGTTAATTTTACACTTAGTATAGTTAAATTTATATCAGTATTTTTTCATATTTTGTATATGCTTATATATTATAAAGTAAACAAATCATCTAAAATATTTATCAGTTTCAAATAACTTTTCATATATTGTTAATTTAATCTACACAATTACATAATTAACAAATCAAACAAAAAAATAAAGGAAAAAAAAAACAGCTGACTTTTTTGTGGATTATCTTTAATAAGTGCAAGGTTATTTAAATATTAGATAAAGTTTTTAATAATTAATTTTTTCTACTCTAATATAATATTAAAGCTAATGCAAATTGTATTTAGAATTTTTATATAAATTGGAGTTTATTCTACAACAGATCATTTATCAAAATTACATTAATGATATGTTCTCATTTTTCATATGTTTTCATTTCTGATACAATTGCTCAATTTATACATGGAATAGAGCATTTTTAAAAATTTGGTTAACACATGTTAAATATTAAAACAACAGATTAATTAAAATTAATTGTAACAGTTGAAAGTTTGTTAAAAGTTTAATAGGAAGTGCTAAAAATGAAATTCTTTAAAATGTTTAAAATTATATATTGATCATAAAACATATGACTAAAGCATCATTGAAACTAAATATATACAGTAGGCCTATGTGATTTTTTTCTTGTGAAAGTAAGTCATAATGTTTAAAAACATATTGCTGTATGTAATCTACAAAACAAATATAAAATTTAAATATTTCAGAATGTACAAAGTTTTTAAAATTTTATAAGAATTAATTTTTTTAAATAAATGTAATCAAATTACTGATATATATAGTCAAGAAATAGAAACAGTGATATGCAAACAAATGGTTAATAAAAAAAAACTGTTGGCAAATATTGAAAAACAGCAAAAAAATTTTATCATCATAGATCATTGATAATTAAAAGATTTTTATCTGTGTAAAATACAATTTTCAGGATAATACAAACTCAAGTACACAGAGATGCATATTTCAATTCTTGATTTGAATCTATTTGATTCAAACAGATTTTCTTACATTCATTTTATATTTCAGATGACAGTTGAAAAACAGTTATAGTAACAACGTTGCAAATATGTTGTAATAAAGTTGTCTATAAACATCTAAAATTACTGATATAGGAATATTATAAGATATTACAAGCTATAACAGTTTATATTTAAATTTTATGAATATGCATAAATTATATTTGCTCATTGTAATAATAAAATTGCTAAAAATTTTCATTTAAAAGCATTTATGGAAGCAAATGTAAAATCTTTATTAATGTGTTGTTGTTGTTTAAAGTTTATATATTAAAAACCAAAATTTATAAGATGTAAAAAAATTTGTTAAGAAGATTTGAAGATGATGATAAAAAATAAAATAAAATTTTAAGTATTATAAGTGAAAATAAGGACAAGAAAATAGCTAGTAAAAATTTTAAAATGTTAGATAAGAAAAAACTGTACAAAAGTATTTCAAAATTCAGAAAAATAATCACTTAAGAAAATTAAGTGATGCTGTCTGATATTAATTCATTTGATAGCTCAAGTTTCATAAATTGTATTTTGTATTATTTAATCAAATTTATGTATTACTGTAATTTTTTGTAGATACCACAGTGATAGATACCCTGTAGAAAATTGCTAGAACAGAAGTAAAACTGTTGCATAACCCATATCACCATATATCCCACACTTTTGACATTGCCATTGAAAGCATGACACTTACCTGTAAGCAGTTTAGAAAATAAATGCAGTTATGGTACCACAGAAAGAAAATAAAACATAAGAACAATGTTTTTAATATATATTTTCATTAGCATTATTATAGATGTAATTATAAAATAATTGAAACAGAATACTGATAGAAACTCCTAAATCTTGTGTTGAAAATACAAAATAGCTGATGAATCAAACATTTATTTATCATATTGTTTTGTTCTCTTTTATTATTATTATTATTGTATAATTTGTTAATAATAATTATAAATGATAAAATAAACTTATTGAAATTATTTTCTATTTAATTTTTTCTGTCAATAATATCTAATGACATTGATTTGAAAGTTGATCACTCAGCAATTATATGCAAAAAAAATTTGTTTCCTTATATGGTAACGATATGTAGATCATGTGGTCAGGCCAACTATTAGAATTCTGAAATTCTGTTTTGTTCATTTAGTTAGCATATTTCAAGACATGTATGTTAATGATTTTAATTATTAAAGTCTTCAAGTTATACATTTTTTAATTGTTTTAGCAATCCATTTAATGTCAGAATCAATTAAACCAGAATTTCCACTAATTATAATCTTGTTTAATTAGACTGATGTTATCAATTTGTTTTTGTCATCAGTATAGGCAAATATCAAAGTGATTACAATAAATGGATTCTATTGTATTTGTTTTATAAATTGTACTTGGCTATTTTTATTTATCGAAAAATGAAAATAGTACAGAATATTATGGAGTTGATTAATGGCCACTGTTTTAATGAGAATTTAAATTCTGAAATGTTTTTCCAAGGAAGAAAATATGAATTCTTTTTTAGCAGTTTCATTTTGATTAGTTATTGTTCATTCAGATATATTAGTTGAAGTATTTTCTTGCTTGTTATGAGTTTGTTCTCATAGTAGCAAATAAATATAATGTTAATTTTAAAAATCTTATTTATATTTTATTATTTATTGTATGCTATATAATCTAATAAAAGGTAGAGAAACAACAAAATTAATTAATTAAAAAGTAATAAGATTTTGATACATAGAATAGGATATTAAGACAAAACAGAAATAAATCCAGTCAACTAGGAAGGCAGAGTATGAAGAGAATTATATCTATATAAGTCTTGTAAACAAGAAAAAAGCTTCTTGTGTTAGAAATAAGTATCTTTCATTGGAAATATATGTCTGAGGACATTCTAAAGATTGTAAAAGAGCATCATTGTGAGGATAACTAATCCAGTGGTATAGAAGTTTACATCTATCATGACTAGTTCTAATGCAATTAAGGTCACTTCATTGTCTGTGAAAAAAAGAATTTTATTGAAACAAAATATATAAAATTGGATTTCTCAATATGAAGTTCACAATTTAGTATTAATAATTAAATATTAATATTTTGATATTAAAATACAAATACCTTTTAAATTTACATAATATATGCTTTAGGAATATATATTTAGAATGTGAAAGTAAAAACAGACTAAATATAAAATTTAAAAAATTTTAATTTGGTTATCATATAATTTTTTCAATTAGTTATACATCTTTATCTGTTTAGTATCAAAAAAATTTCATGAACATTTGTAACAAAGGAGATATGATTAATGTTAATTTATGAAAAAAACTTTTGCATAAGTTGTTTGCTTAAATTTTCATAACATTTGGAAACTTAGTCGTAAAACAAACATTAGTAATATTAACATACAGCAACTTAAATGTAAGAGATATATTGCTAATAAAATATAACTCTTAAATTTTTTACTGTTTAATAGAAATTTCCAGCTGTTNGATAGATGATGATCTGCTTTAGTTCATCCTCACAGAAAAGCAAACTTAGGTCGTCGTACTTGTAGCGCCATCTGTTGGACAAAAAAGCCTTAACCCTAGATGATATGTTTTAATTTATATGAATGTTTAACAGAATAATATACAGCCTATGTTTTCCCTGAAGTTCCATTCTAAATATTGATGAAAGAATTTTTGAAATCGGATGAGTAGTTTCGGAGATTACCCGCTACATACAAACTTACAAACATTACCTCTTTATAATATTAGTATAGATTAGAGGTTTTTAGAGTAGAGACTTATAAGCATAATGATCTTTTAATAAACTATTGAAGATTGTAATGAAGTTTCATTATTGTTTTAGAATATTGGAATATATTGATATGTTCTTCTTGTCACTCCTTCCTTGTTTCATACTAATTGCATAATGGTGATACCAAGTCCTCAAGTGCTATTCATTCTTTGCTTGACAACAATAAAAATATAATAATACTACATATTTTATATTAAAACTAGAAATTCTCTCGTCAAGCATGATGGAATATTTTTTGAGAAAGTAGAGATTGAAGAATTGACAAGAGCTTCAAGTTGAGCTTACATTTAGATGCTGTTTCTGCAGTTCTTGACAAAGCCATACTTACTCAATGTTGCTCAAATCGAACTTCATGACCTTCAGGAGTCTCGGTTGTTCTTATTTTTTAGATCCACAGTTTACCTGACCTATTTTACTCTTACCCTTTCCCCTGGTCTTTTTAATTCTACACTGATAAAACAAAGATGAATTGTATGTATGTTAATTAGCTTAGCGATAACACTTTTTAAATAATGGTCTATTAGATTGTTACTTTCGATTGGATAATAGAAAGTCTTGTGGTCAGTATGGAAAGATTTTTTTTTTTTTTTTTTTTAATTAATTTGTTTTAGAAGTGACATGATACAGCTATAATTTTTTAAAGTTTAAATTTAATGAAGTAAGTTTAAAACATGCTATTTGCCAAAATATTTAAAAAAAGGGAAATTTCCTCGTCAAGCATGATGAAAATCATGTGGTTACTGATGTTACTGCAACATAAATGCAATTACCAATCTGAAATTGATAAAATGTTTATTCTATAGCTAATATTTCCACAAAATAAGTAGCATATACTTTACGTCAGAACATAAAACGAATATAACCAAAATTTATCTGGATTGAACTAAAATTGCAGGTGTTATAAGGAGTTCACACACATACACATGCAGACAATGGCTTTTATATTAGTAGTACTACTGCATAAAAACATAACAACAATAAAAATAAAGAATATATTGTACCTACTATAATGACCTATTAAGAATAAGCTCATAAAAAGTAAACTAAAATTTTCTGATTAAAATCACTAAATTGTATAATTATGGTTACCATAGACATAACACTGCTGAAACAAAACAAAAAAAAAATTATTGAGAACTGAGTTGCTATCTGCTTCCTGTCTTTACTAGCATGAAATTCAAAATTTTCATAAATGAAATGTGCTTTGAAGAAATTTGATTATTCAATTTCCATCTCTCATTGGACTCTAAAGAATATATTTGTTGTAGATGATGATAGGATTTAGGAGTTCAAGTTCTGGAGTTTGGCCCAAGCTTGTTTTTATTGATTGATATCTTGTATCACAAATTCAATTTATTTTTGGCATCAAGTTGAAACATATTAAACAGTATTTGTAAAATATAGATGTGTTTATATAAGATACTTTAAATACTTTATTTAACTATTTAATGTATCTGGATAGTATAGAAAAATTCATTAGTTTATGATAAATGTTTTGTAATCAACAGTATAGTTTTATATAATCTTGATAACTAAAGCATTAATTATATATTTAAAATATTAATTAATATCTTTTTGAATTTTAATAAATAGTCTATTAAATTTTTACAGCTTCGCAATTCTCAGGGTTATTGTACTGATAATGAATGCTTTCAGGAATGTAAGTATTTTTATTTAAAGTCATCAAGTTTTTGAAAAAATTAAATATAGCATAATATGCAATGTTTTTAATAGATATTAATATCAAAAATGAATGTATAAATGAACTTCACATAATTATTGTATATACTCAAATGTAACATGCTGTTGAATCTAAGATGCACCTTAATTTCTACAAGCTCACTTGTGAGAGCTTTTTAATAGACAACTAGAGACAAATTTTTGTCATCAGAGCTGATTCTGTTGACATAAATTTATTCAGTATGTATTGCAAGTAAAATAAATTATAAATTAAGTTATATATCTTTGTCTTTACTGGTAACAAAATTGGAACCTCTTCATTTTCTATGTTATGTTCTAAATTAACACTAGATTTGATGTTCACATCTTGCAGTTGTCCTCAGTGTCATTTAAATCATTTAAAATGAACATTTCTTGAAGGTAATATTGTTGTAGTCACATTCCTGAAATTTTGTTTTGGTTTCAGTGAATTAAACTACACTACTTGAGAGTTCTTCACAACTTTTTCTAGGATATTCATCCAAGTACTTATGATGTTAATGTAATAGACTAATGAGATTGAGCTAAGTTGGCATCTTAAATATTTGCTATTATGAATATTGGTCTAATAAAATCATTAAAATAATGGAATGGAATTAGTGATAGAGAAATAGGATGCATGGCACTAGAGACTGCTAATTATGATCTATTACAACAAATCTAAAAAGCCATTGAATCTAAGATGAACCCTATTTTTAGAGATATTAAAACCTGAAAAAATACAGTATATACATATTATAATTATAAATACATTCTATTAATTACATTAATATTATCAATAATTAAGATAGTCATTGCATGTGATTGATAATTGTATAAATTTATAATATGGTGTGTAGTGTGTGTAATATTATCAGATCAATGTGTATTTGGCCAATTATTTTTTAAAAAAATTTGATTTTTATGAATTTTATAAAACTTTTGTTGTAATAATAATCATATTGGAAGGTGAAAATGTAATTTTGTTGCTTTTTGCATTATTTTTGCTTCATGATAATGTAATAACACTTTTAATGCTCTTAATGCAAATGTTTGTGTTTCTTTTTCTTTATAATAGTATGCTTGTTTTATTTGAATCCATAAGATCATGTATTTGAAATACATCTTACAGAATATCACTTTTTGTTTATTTATGATTTATTATGGTGTATAATTGAACATTTAGTATTTATTTAGAGTTAATAAATTTTAATGGAAGGTCTTTGTTAGTTCCAGGACCTCAGAATGTACAACCACACAGTGGAGATTTTAACTTTTTGCTTTTTCTCATGGGATGGATGGTACTGGCATTGGCATTGTATTTTCTTCGACCAAAATCTTTGAAAAATAGAGGCGATACGAAACCTTCTAATCAGGTATGAATTATATATATATATATATATATATAAATGATTGCAGAAATAGCATTTTGTCTGATTTTGTCTTTAATATTTTGTGCCATATTGATCATTTTCAAATTTTAAGAGGAGAACAACACATCATTAATTCCAAAATTAATTGTTCTTTGTAGAAAATTTTCAAAATAAAAAAAAGAAAAAATGAGGATGCATTGACAGAGACATCATCAACATCTCAAAAAATCTCTCACATCTTGAAAATACTTAGTAGAGCATGCCGTGGATCATGATATTGACTTGCCACTTATACAGAAACCTTATGCCANCCCCGTCTCTCACCACCCGGCCGCCCATTGTTAGCGGCCGGGTGGTGAGAGACGTTTTTGAGTTGCAACCACAAGGCGGAAAAAGTTTTTAAAAAAGTCAACATCAAGTACTGTACATTTCTTTAAAATTTAATATTGTCTTTAACAGTTAGAGATTGGAAAATAATTCCAATATTAAAAAATACAATGTTTAAATTGAATCTAACTATACTGTACTTCAAATGAACGAAGTGATTTATAAAAAGTTAAAACTGTTTTTTTTAAATAATAATTTTTCATTATTTTAATTCTGCTTAATATTCTGTAGATATTCAACATAAAAACATATATATAATTAGATAATATAGTACATAATTACATAATATACAAACTGATTTAAAAAGCATCATTGATACGGAACTAACTTTAAATTATTAATAATCTAAAATTAGAACAAGATAAAAAAATATAAGAGGGCGCTTCGAAAAACCTACGCATGACGTAGATATAGAATTATCTAAGGTTGACGTGTACTTGAAAATAGACTGTTTGTTTGGATGTGTTAGAGAGGTTCCTTCTGTTATTAAACGTTACTTTGCTCAAAAGTAAACAAAAGATATTAGGAGATTAGAAGATAGATTGATATTTATATTAGATATTACCAAGTTTCTTTATCAAAGTGAGTTTTTTTATTTAGGCTTAAAGTTATTCCATTTAAGTAATCAATCTTTATTATTTTATATTTTATCAATTAATTTTTATTATTCATATTTGATTATTTTCTTCTGTAACGATTATATTTTCGAATAACGCTTGTGTGAGTCAAAAAAGTTTTCTATATCTGGATATATTCGTCATAAAAGGAACTGATCAGAATCCAGATTGTAAGACATTGCTCTAATTATTTGCTTTCTTTTTTATGTAATAGAAGTAGTAGAATTAATTGCTCTAGACACAAGTTTCATAATTATTACTAAAAATAAAATTGTGTAACTTATAAAGCATTATAACATTTTTTAAAACTTAGTCAAGTTTTTAAAAATGTTATAATTTATCTTACAATTCTAGAAAATTTAATTAAATAATAATAATTATAAATATATAAGATATTTTAAATAAATGATCTGTTTGCATTAATCTGGTATAAAATATGCTGAATTTTTACACTTTTTATCAGAATCATCAATTTTTTTTTCCTTTCAGTGTATAGAAGCAGAAATACTTGTTTATTCTGAAGTTAATTTTACACTTAGTATAGTTAAATTTATATCAGTATTTTTTCATATTTTGTATATGCTTATATATTATAAAGTAAACAAATCATCTAAAATATTTATCAGTTTCAAATAACTTTTCATATATTGTTAATTTAATCTACACAATTACATAATTAACAAATCAAACAAAAAAATAAAGGAAAAAAAAACAGCTGACTTTTTTGTGGATTATCTTTAATAAGTGCAAGGTTATTTAAATATTAGATAGTTTTTAATAATTAATTTTTTCTACTCTAATATAATATTAAAGCTAATGCAAATTGTATTTAGAATTTTTATATAAATTGGAGTTTATTCTACAACAGATCATTTATCAAAATTACATTAATGATATGTTCTCATTTTTCATATGTTTTCATTTCTGATACAATTGCTCAATTTATACATGGAATAGAGCATTTTTAAAAATTTGGTTAACACATGTTAAATATTAAAACAACAGATTAATTAAAATTAATTGTAACAGTTGAAAGTTTGTTAAAAGTTTAATAGGAAGTGCTAAAAATGAAATTCTTTAAAATGTTTAAAATTATATATTGATCATAAAACATATGACTAAAGCATCATTGAAACTAAATATATACAGTAGGCCTATGTGATTTTTTTCTTGTGAAAGTAAGTCATAATGTTTAAAAACATATTGCTGTATGTAATCTACAAAACAAATATAAAATTTAAATATTTCAGAATGTACAAAGTTTTTAAAATTTTATAAGAATTAATTTTTTTAAATAAATGTAATCAAATTACTGATATATATAGTCAAGAAATAGAAACAGTGATATGCAAACAAATGGTTAATAAAAAAAAACTGTTGGCAAATATTGAAAAACAGCAAAAAAATTTTATCATCATAGATCATTGATAATTAAAAGATTTTTATTTGTGTAAAATACAATTTTCAGGATAATACAAACTCAAGTACACAGAGATGCATATTTCAATTCTTGATTTGAATCTATTTGATTCAAACAGATTTTCTTACATTCATTTTATATTTCAGATGACAGTTGAAAAACAGTTATAGTAACAACGTTGCAAATATGTTGTAATAAAGTTGTCTATAAACATCTAAAATTACTGATATAGGAATATTATAAGATATTACAAGCTATAACAGTTTATATTTAAATTTTATGAATATGCATAAATTATATTTGCTCATTGTAATAATAAAATTGCTAAAAATTTTCATATAAATTGTAATTGTAGGAATTTTCATATTTTTGTTTGCTTGTTTCAAGTATAACTAGTTCTTATTATAAGTCAAACATTTATAATANACTAATTATATATTTAAAATATTAATTAATATCTAATTATTATAGTGTATAATAAATAGTTTTATTATACACTATAATAAAACTCATGTAAATCAGAATTGCATGGTGCCAAATATTTTTTCCAGTTTGGCAGGTTTTCATTTTGAATAGATTGTAGTTTTTTTTTTTAATCTATAAATTACCTCAGATAAATGTCACACAGTTAAATTCATTTTTATAGTAAAATCACATATTTAAAATCTTTTTATTACTTTGTTTCATTCAAATTAATCCAAAGTGATTCCAACTAAACATGGAATCTCTGAATGTAAGAATTGAAAACTATTTGATTGCAAAAAATCTGTTATTTTCAAGAACATGTTTTAGATATTTGAACACTTCTCAGATGTTATCTTTATGAGCTCACACAACAGTGAACAAGACAGTTCAAGTACTAAAAACTGCCTGCTTACTTTTGAAACTATAATTGCATTACAGTATGGGTTGCTCTGGAAAATTTTTAAAAAATCACTAACCATTTTGCCAGTTTTAAATTTTTTCACCATTTCAAATTACTTATCACTACCAGTTTTACTTACTAATTAATGCAGGTGCTGGTAAACTTATCAGTTTGGAGTTTGGAAAACATAAGTAACATGTTAAGCTGTCACTTATAAATAGGAATCATTTTTGAATAATTGTTTAATGAATAATCCCAAATAACACATTTGATCACAATGCTTAAACAGTATTTCATATTTTCTGTCATGTCAAAATTTTTATTCTTTTAGACTACTGTACAAAGATATAAGTGGAAAAAATCCCCAATCTGGAAATGCTAGGTGGCATTGCATGAAAAATTGCCTTTGTTCTCAGTGTCACTTCCTGCTTTCCTATCCAAACTTGTCATGTCACATTATGAAATTACTGAATTTGTGGTGCATGGGATTCCTATCACACAGGAGCTTGACATTCTGCTGTTTTTCCTGAAGCATAGTTTGTGATTTAATTTCACACTGAATATTAAATAAGTGGATTAGTTTTTATTGCCAGTATTATATTTTTATTGCCACTTTAATAAAAAGTATTGCCAAATATCAATATGTTTTTTTAATTAGCATGATCCATGACAGTAATATAAAACCAAGTTATTCTGTGATCTGGTTAATTGAAAAATTTTAATACTTTAATCAATCACTAACTTCAGTCTCTGTAATTATCGACATGTAAAATCAACTTATTCTAGAATGCTCTGTACTAGATAGTTACTAACTATTTTGTACAAGACAATTTGGCAGAACCATGTTACCTTATTCTGATTGTTTTCATGAATTACATTCATTGCTTTTTCTCAAGAGCTTGATTCTTGAAAGTATTCAATTCTACCCTTGTTAATTTCCTCAAAGCCCAATAGTAACAAAAACTGTGGTCCATATGTCTCCCTTGTCATTGTATACAAGTGGAATCTTAGGTTTAGTTATATTCTTTTTATCAAAAAATCTCTTCTTTTTTGGGTTGGACAGATTTCTGCCTTATAGTTTAACATAGAAAATCATTCTGTTCCAAAGAATTTTTCCATTTTGGACAGTTTTCATTACATTATTTTTGATCTATCATAAAAATACAACAGTATTCATGCAAATAATAGATCATATAGTGTATATAAAAATAAATCATCAGTCATTACATATGTCTCAACATTCTGTATGATACGTTAATGGTTTCACACTGTATAAAATAGTGAGAAAATTTTAACTACAGTTTTGAGTGCAATGATATCAAGTGTTTTATAAGGCAAGGTTTGTTTATATGCAGATTTTGTAAGAATTAGGAAAGAACAATAATTATACCACATCAAAAAAATGTCTAAGTAATATGATGATCATAATTATGTTTTTAAGATTTGCATAACAAGATTGCAATCATAATACTGTATATAAGCTTTTTATTGTGAGAAGTTCGGGTTAATTTTCAATATTGAAACAAGTATATTTAATGTGGTTCTTCAGTTTTATAATTGGATTTTTAGTCTCATTATTCACCATTTAAAAATTGATAATTAATGACTTCAAAAAAGTAGAGTTGGTCAATGCCCATATTTGAATTGAAAATTTCAATTTAGTAAGTAATATGCTACCTAAATGTTCTTAGAATGCTACATAATCTGTATTTAATTTTATCTATATTTTACATATATTTTTCTGTGTATTTTAATGAAATATTCTTTAGCTAGATATATATATATATATATACATACATACATACATACATATAAATGTATATATATATATATATATACATGTAATAACTAGTTTTATTTTTAAACAAATGCTGTATGATTTAGTCAAGTTAACCTTTGTTGGGCCTCAAAATTAATGAAGCTAGGATGTCCAGATGGCCACTTTTAAACTAGAAAAGTTTGATGTTTATGCATCTGCAACTCCTCTTCCAACAGAAATCATGCATATCTGGTATTTTTGTGAAACCATCTGGCAATCATATTTGAGACAGATTTATTGTTATGTTTCATCAAAATTTTATAGAATGATAAATTCATATTCAAAAGCAATTACAGAAATAAGTTCTATAAATTATTACTTTAAATAAATTTATGTAAAAAAGAATGCTTTGTATTTACACAAATTGAAACAGACTTTGTAAAAACAGTTTTTTGAAATTTTCACATTCATTATTTTTAGTAAATCAATTTTGTTTTTTGTTTGTTTTAGATATTTTTGCTGTTTAATCAATTTATATGCTATTTATTTTATAGTTCATTTCCTACAGTTTTTATTTTCTATATTTTATATTTACAGAGTAAATTGTCACTATTAATGTAGTAAATAAGTGAAAAACTTTTGTTTCAAGTAGTGACGTACCGTGGGTGTCAGCCGCCTGGGGCGGAGGAAAATTTCAGTCCCCCTTATTTAGGTATTTCAATTTAAAAGACCAAAATTCAGTTTTGTCACAGAACAAGCAATGAAAAATTCGTAGTAGTGCAGCGACCTGTNAATTTTAAAATTTTTCTGTTATATTAAAATTCTACAATAAATCTAACTTTTAATTGGAGGGTTTTTTTTTTTAATTGAGAAATATCTTGCATAAGGTACCTTTATTTTCATATCTTTTTAAGCTATTTAATGTAATCATATTATATTTTAAGAAGTTATTTATTACAATGGTAGTTCTTATTGTAATATGAATAAATACATAACTGCTTAAACTATGTGTTTACTTTCTATTAAAATTCATATTTTATTTATAACAGTCACTAGGCATTTAAATTTTAAATAGGGAACAATGAAAATATGAGTAAATTCTTATAGCAAAAACTTTCTAAGTTTTTTCAGAGTTTATTAATGGAATTGATGAAACTAGTTCTTCTAGTCTACAAACCTATATGTGAAGTGAAATAAGCCAGAATTAGTATTAATAACTACTATTAGCATAAAAAAAGGCATTTAAAACAATATGGCACTAATATTTTATAAAGTGAATGTTTGAAAGGAATTCCTTTCAGTTTAGTCATCAGCACTGCTTGATTCTCTTGAGATAATGCCTAAATTTTGCATTTCTCAGTCATGGATATAAGACAGTACACGTGGATGAGCTCAACAAATTTATTGCCTTTGCTGTGCATTTTATAGAATGCAATTGTAAATATTACAACAAACCTTCACCACCAACCAGCATATAAATGTACAATTTTATCTGGGGAAAAATGAAAAATAAAAAGGTTTGTAATGTAATATATCTATTTTGTACATAATTGATTTGTAAATGTCATATTAAAAATATATAATATATATATATATATATATAAATAAATGTGTAAACTATATGTAAAATTGCTTTAGAAATAAATGCTTATTTGTACATTGAAAATTCTTCCAAATATGGATGATAATGATTTAAAATAAGTTCTATATAGGGAAGGTTTAATGCATTGTTTGTGTTTCTGCATAAATGAAATCTTAAGAAATATGTAAATATAAAAATATATAATGAATGTATAAATTTATTTCTTGAAATTAATATATTCCATTTATGACTTATTTGTGCACTGTAGAATTCAATTACTTTAATAAAAATTGGGATTTGAAGCAACTTTGTTTTTTTTTAAACATTGATTGCTATTATCACATTAGAAATATACAGTGGTCAGTCCTATAGATGACAATGTTAATTTAACTTTTATAAGCTGTAAAGCTGCATAGACAGTGTTGAGCCAGGAAGCAGTAAATGTGACATTGTAAATTATATCAAATTCATTTATTTTTCTAAATCATGTTTGTTATTCTTTTCTGAACAACTTAGTATCATTTTAAGTTTTATTACAAATTAAAACTTTCTCTTATCTGTGATGAACTTATAAGAACTGTTGAAGTAATAAAGTAACTATTGAAACAAGATGGCAACAAAAATGCAGTGTAGTTTGATAGATGGTGGGTCCATGTGTACTTTTTACCTTTGTACAAACTACATTCTCAAATATTAGTTCTGTGGTTCACCACTGAAGCACTGAAAGTAAATTGTTTAGTGACCCATCTGTATATTACTGTCCAGCTATTATGGCATTATACTAATTTCTATTTCATTCCCGATTCCCAGAGTAGTTGGCTGACACCTTAACAGGTTGGCCATCCATCCATTGGCAACCTTGATTACAGTCTCCTGCATATTGTTTTTCCTTTTAACTGACTGCTATTGGTTAAAAGGAAATGTTATAAAAAATTTTCATTGTAAATTAATGAAATTCAAAACTGAAAATTTTATTTTTGGTTTTGGATTTTATTAATTTACAATAAAAGATTTTATAATATATAGAAAGAATTGTCCTTAGAAATAAACCTCTAAATATAAATTACCTTCAAATTCATCTCTAGATAAAAAGAAAATCTCCAATTCAGCAAATATGTCCAAGAATGTTAAATTTCCATATACTTTGTATATAGAGAGGTTTCAAGTCAACATCACAAGTGATGTCATGAACAGTTGCATAAATACCAACAAAATAAAGTTAAATAATTTTAATAACTGCAGATTTTAGTTTAAATAGATAATAATTGTGTTCTAACTTTATTTTTCACCTTTCAATTTGTTTTCTTAGCATCTGCTTGTAATAAATATAGAGTTAATATTAGTGTTAAGCAAAGATAATTGCTTATCAGACAGTGGCGTGCTGTCCATGGAAGCTATGGAAGCACCACTTCCCTTGTGTTTTCTAAAATATAAATACATATTGTGTGATTATTTTCATATTTTAACATACTTTGAATTAATTAAAAATAATATTTTATTATAACTGCATTATGTGTGTTATTACAAATTTCTATACTACATATGAAAAACAATGATAAGATTGCTATTGTATATTCAATTATAAATTCATATGTGTATATTCCCAATGGAAGCACTGTATTGTCGAATATGGGATAGCTTCTATGGTGAAAATATTTGAATCGTATAAATCAGCCAGATTATATGCATTCACGCATGTGCTTTACAGAGTACCAACCTCACATGGTTTAGCCTGTGGATGCTACACACTAAAATATCGTATGTTTCCAATGATTCTATCCAAGGGCTCGCACAGCTTCCCTAGCATCAAATGTCACCACATGCCACTGCTAGCAGATGATGAATTAGAAATGCATTTTGAACCAATTACCCTTCCAGTCTAATTAACATAAATAAAAAAGTGTGTATTTTTAAACATATAATCCAATAATTTCCATTGATCACTTACAAATAGCTAAGTAGTTATTTTGGTGAGCAACATTAACATTTCTTTAAGATACTATTTTTTAGAATGATTTTATATTAATAAGAATTCATATTACAATAATAATTTTAGGGTCCACGTAATCCACCACCTCCTGAGACTGGCGTTCATTAATTATTTTTATGGTCCGCATGGAATAGTTTAAAGATGTGGAAAATATAACAGACTTTCATCTTTCCATCTTTTACTGAGCAACTGCATCACATGACTGCCTATCTTATATCAGAATCATATGAAAAAAGTATTTTTAAGATCTTTTTATTATTATTGAAAAAGATTTGGCAAATGTAAATAACATTAACCAAATCTTTTGGCATTTATTTGGTCTATAAATTGTGCAATTTAAAACTGTATATAAATATATTTGACAAAATAAGAAAGAATTTTAAAATTTTTCTGTTATATTAAAATTCTACAATAAATCTAACTTTTAATTGGAGGGTTTTTTTTTTTGAATTGAGAAATATCTTGCATAAGGTACCTTTATTTTCATATCTTTTTAAGCTATTTAATGTAATCATATTATATTTTAAGAAGTTATTTATTACAATGGTAGTTCTTATTGTAATATGAATAAATACATAACTGCTTAAACTATGTGTTTACTTTCTATTAAAATTCATATTTTATTTATAACAGTCACTAGGCATTTAAATTTTAAATAGGGAACAATGAAAATATGAGTAAATTCTTATAGCAAAAACTTTCTAAGTTTTTTCAGAGTTTATTAATGGAATTGATGAAACTAGTTCTTCTAGTCTACAAACCTATATGTGAAGTGAAATAAGCCAGAATTAGTATTAATAACTACTATTAGCATAAAAAAAGGCATTTAAAACAATATGGCACTAATATTTTATAAAGTGAATGTTTGAAAGGAATTCCTTTCAGTTTAGTCATCAGCACTGCTTGATTCTCTTGAGATAATGCCTAAATTTTGCATTTCTCAGTCATGGATATAAGACAGTACACGTGGATGAGCTCAACAAATTTATTGCCTTTGCTGTGCATTTTATAGAATGCAATTGTAAATATTACAACAAACCTTCACCACCAACCAGCATATAAATGTACAATTTTATCTGGGGAAAAATGAAAAATAAAAAGGTTTGTAATGTAATATATCTATTTTGTACATAATTGATTTGTAAATGTCATATTAAAAATATATAATATATATATATATATATATAAATAAATGTGTAAACTATATGTAAAATTGCTTTAGAAATAAATGCTTATTTGTACATTGAAAATTCTTCCAAATATGGATGATAATGATTTAAAATAAGTTCTATATAGGGAAGGTTTAATGCATTGTTTGTGTTTCTGCATAAATGAAATCTTAAGAAATATGTAAATATAAAAATATATAATGAATGTATAAATTTATTTCTTGAAATTAATATATTCCATTTATGACTTATTTGTGCACTGTAGAATTCAATTACTTTAATAAAAATTGGGATTTGAAGCAACTTTGTTTTTTTTTAAACATTGATTGCTATTATCACATTAGAAATATACAGTGGTCAGTCCTATAGATGACAATGTTAATTTAACTTTTATAAGCTGTAAAGCTGCATAGACAGTGTTGAGCCAGGAAGCAGTAAATGTGACATTGTAAATTATATCAAATTCATTTATTTTTCTAAATCATGTTTGTTATTCTTTTCTGAACAACTTAGTATCATTTTAAGTTTTATTACAAATTAAAACTTTCTCTTATCTGTGATGAACTTATAAGAACTGTTGAAGTAATAAAGTAACTATTGAAACAAGATGGCAACAAAAATGCAGTGTAGTTTGATAGATGGTGGGTCCATGTGTACTTTTTACCTTTGTACAAACTACATTCTCAAATATTAGTTCTGTGGTTCACCACTGAAGCACTGAAAGTAAATTGTTTAGTGACCCATCTGTATATTACTGTCCAGCTATTATGGCATTATACTAATTTCTATTTCATTCCCGATTCCCAGAGTAGTTGGCTGACACCTTAACAGGTTGGCCATCCATCCATTGGCAACCTTGATTACAGTCTCCTGCATATTGTTTTTCCTTTTAACTGACTGCTATTGGTTAAAAGGAAATGTTATAAAAAATTTTCATTGTAAATTAATGAAATTCAAAACTGAAAATTTTATTTTTGGTTTTGGATTTTATTAATTTACAATAAAAGATTTTATAATATATAGAAAGAATTGTCCTTAGAAATAAACCTCTAAATATAAATTACCTTCAAATTCATCTCTAGATAAAAAGAAAATCTCCAATTCAGCAAATATGTCCAAGAATGTTAAATTTCCATATACTTTGTATATAGAGAGGTTTCAAGTCAACATCACAAGTGATGTCATGAACAGTTGCATAAATACCAACAAAATAAAGTTAAATAATTTTAATAACTGCAGATTTTAGTTTAAATAGATAATAATTGTGTTCTAACTTTATTTTTCACCTTTCAATTTGTTTTCTTAGCATCTGCTTGTAATAAATATAGAGTTAATATTAGTGTTAAGCAAAGATAATTGCTTATCAGACAGTGGCGTGCTGTCCATGGAAGCTATGGAAGCACCACTTCCCTTGTGTTTTCTAAAATATAAATACATATTGTGTGATTATTTTCATATTTTAACATACTTTGAATTAATTAAAAATAATATTTTATTATAACTGCATTATGTGTGTTATTACAAATTTCTATACTACATATGAAAAACAATGATAAGATTGCTATTGTATATTCAATTATAAATTCATATGTGTATATTCCCAATGGAAGCACTGTATTGTCGAATATGGGATAGCTTCTATGGTGAAAATATTTGAATCGTATAAATCAGCCAGATTATATGCATTCACGCATGTGCTTTACAGAGTACCAACCTCACATGGTTTAGCCTGTGGATGCTACACACTAAAATATCGTATGTTTCCAATGATTCTATCCAAGGGCTCGCACAGCTTCCCTAGCATCAAATGTCACCACATGCCACTGCTAGCAGATGATGAATTAGAAATGCATTTTGAACCAATTACCCTTCCAGTCTAATTAACATAAATAAAAAAGTGTGTATTTTTAAACATATAATCCAATAATTTCCATTGATCACTTACAAATAGCTAAGTAGTTATTTTGGTGAGCAACATTAACATTTCTTTAAGATACTATTTTTTAGAATGATTTTTTTTTTACATTAGTAACAATCATTTCATCACCTTCAAGTTATTCCTAAAAAATCCTTATTTATTATTTTTATATAACATATCATAATTATAAACAAATAATATTAAAAGAACTTAATAATTTTATATACAGGGGATTGCAAAAGTAGCTATACAGTTGAGAAACCGAGAAATACAAATGTTTGATGTTCATTATTATTATTATTGTGTTTAGTGGGTTATACTCGGTTCACACCGGTGGCTGTGTACTATGCCGGACCTGAGTCAAGGCATAGCAACCAAAATAAAACTAAAATTAAATAAGTGTGTCAGTGTCTGTATTAAGGAATTTCCTAACAATATGGCATGTATTCAATATAGTGGCTTTCTGTAGTGTTATATATGTATTTCTATTCAATTGTAATGTTCCCAGGCTTTTGCGTAGTGTGTGTGGTATCACACCTGTACAGAGAGAACAACAGGTACAATAAGCACCCTATCCATCCTCCACAGATGCCTTATTTCCTGGGCGAGTTCTGTGTACTTGCTAATTTTTTCAGTGCAT